CTTGACCTCGTGATCCACCCGCCTCGGCCTCCCAAAGTGCTGGGATTACAGGCTTGAGCCACCGCACCCGGCCATGGCTCACACTTGTAATCTCAGCACTTTGAGAGGCTGAGGTGGGTGGATCACGAGGTCAAGAGTTCGAGACCAGCCTGGCCAACATGGTGAAACCCCACTTCTACAAAAAATACACAAAATTAGCCAGGCATGATGGCACACACCTGGAGTCCCAGCTACTTGGTGGAGGGGTAAGATGGAAGGGTCACCTGAGCCAGGGAGGTCAAGGCTGCAGTGAGCCGAGGTCATGCCACTGCATTCCAGCCTGGGTGACTAATTGAGACTCTTTCCTAAAAGGAAAAAGAGGAGGCCGGGCGCGGTGGCTCACGCCTGTAATCCCAGCACTTTGGGAGGCCGAGATGGGTGGATCATGAGGTCAAGAGATCGAGACCATCCTGGTCAACATGGTGAAACCCTGTCTCTATTAAAAATACAAAAAAATTAGCTGGGTGTGGTGCGCACCTATAGTCCTAGCTACTCAGGAGGCTGAGGCAGAAGAATTGCTTGAACCCAGGAGGCGGAGGTTGTGGTAAGCGGAGATCGCGCCATTGCACTCCAGCCTGGGTAACAAGAGCGAAACTCCGTCTAAAAAATGAAAAAGAGGAAAAGGGAATTCCTTTCCCTTTCTCAATGTGGCCCAATGTATTAAAATACCGCCTCCATGATCTGATGCCACCTGCCCACCCACCATGGTACATCATTTTCAGACCTTCTCTCCTTCCAAGGTGTGTGATGAGGGAATGGGTACAGTTCCAAAGTGACGGGGCTGTCGCTGGGTGGCGGTTACCTGGTTTGTGGGGATGGGCTGGGGATTGACTGTCTGTTCCTCCCCACTCCCCTAGTTTGCCGAGAAGTTCCAGGAAGTGAAGGAAGCAGCCAGGCTGGCCAGGGAGAAATCTCAGGATGGCGGGGAGCTCACCAGTCCAGCCCTGGGGCTCGCCTCCCACCAGGTCAGCACTCCCTGCCCCCCTATGCTGCCTGTGAGTCAACCAGGCGCTCAACTGATATTGGGGGACCTTGATATTAGGAGACCGGGCACTGTGCTAGTCCTCAAGACCCAATGCTCCCAGATGACCTAAAGTTAGACCCATGGCAGGGACCACGGAGGAGGGGTGTGGAGCATGTCATGGAGGGTCTGAGCCTTGCCTGGGGTCGGCAGGGGGTACCCAGTAGGTCCCAGTAGCAAAACCAGCTCAGATGGCAGAATGGAAGACTAGAAATCGAAATGGCTAAGTGTGGCCGGGCGCAGTGGCTCATGCCTGTAATCCCAGCAATTTGGGAGGCCAAGGTGGGAGGATCGCTTGAGCCCAGGAGTTTGAGACCAGCCTGGCCAACATGGTGAAACCCCGACTTTACTAACAAATACAAAAATTAGCCAGGTGCGGCGGCATGCACCTGTAGTCCCAGCTACTCGGGAGGCTGAGGCAGAAGAATTGCTTGAACCCAGGAGGTGGAGGTTGCTGTCAGCCCAGATCATACCAGTATACTCCAGCCTGGCGACAGAGTATGGCAGAGAAAGAAAGAAATGGCTAAGTGTGAGGCAGAGCAATGAACTGTCCCTGTGTGTTTTCCCACATTAATTTATTCAGCATCATTTATTGAGCACCTGCTGTGTACCAGGCTCAGGGCTGTGCACCGGGGTTGCAGAGATTTGGAAAAACAGGCTGGGTGCGGTGGCTCAAGCCTGTAATCCCAGCACTTTGGGAGGCCGAGGCGGGTGGATCACGAGGTCAAGAGATCGAGACCATCCTGGTCAACATGGTGAAACCCCGTCTCTACTAAAAATACAAAAAATTAGCTGGGCATGGTGACACGTGCCTGTAGTCCCAGCTACTCAGGAGGCTGAGGCAGGAGAATTGCCTGAACCCAGGAGACGGAGGTTGCGGTGAGCCGAGATCGCGCCATTGCACTCCAGCCTGGGTAACAAGAGCGAGACTCCATCTCAAAAAAAAAAAAAAAAGAAAGAAAAAAGAAAAACAGGCTGGACTCTACCCTCAGAGCCAGTGGTCTAGGCATTGGGGTGGCTCATGAAACACGAATTCAGCCTGGACAGGGCTTCCTGCTGAAATCCTAAACAGGCCACAGGGAACGGAACAGGGAAGGGAACATGGAGCTGTCCGATTGTCCCTCTCCCCTACCCTGCAGGTTCCAGGTATCTTGGTTTAGACCAACCTGCATCGGACTTGCTCCTAGGGGTAGTGAAACCCCAGGAAGGCAAGGTTGAGGGCATGGGCCTGGAACTCTCAGCCTGGGGGCCATAGGGAGCCATGGAGGGTGGGTGAGATGGGGAGGGACACGCTTGGATCCGGTGCGGTGCCGTGAAGGACCTGCTTAGGGTGCATAAGTCAGTTGGACCCCCTGATGTGACAACCCCGTCACATCAGCCTTGACTCCAGCCACTGACAGAAGCTACTGCTCATTGTGACCTGCTCTTTTCCCCGTGCACAGGTGCCCCCGAGCCCCCTCGTCAGTGCCAATGGCCCGGGTGAGGAGAAACTGTTCCGCAGCCAGAGCGCAGACGCCCCCGGCCCCACGGAGCGCGAGCGGCTCAAGAAGATGCTGTCCGAGGGGTGAGGGGCGGGGCTTGGGGCGGGGCAGGGGCCGGGGTGGGGGTGGGGGACGAGGAGGCGGTTCTCGAAAGCCAAGGGAGTGCCAGGGACTGCGGGATCTAACTGTGGACCCAAGGCCTGGGGAAGGGGAGGAGCTGATCCCGATGCTGCTCCATCCAGAGCCGACCCCGCCCAGCAGCTTTGGCATGTGGGTCTGTATTGACCCGGCCCCTGTCTCCTGGCTGATAACCTCGTCCCATCCATGCCTCTCGGGCTTAGGATAAACCTGGGGCGCCTCCCCACGCCGACCACGCCCCCCTAGGCTGACTCTCCCCAACCTCCCAACACTCTGCCATCCCAGTGTCACTGGGCGGTCTCCATGTGCCCACTTCTTTGACCAGGTCCCTGACAAGACCCTGCCTCTCCGGGACCGCCCCATTCCCAAGCTCAGCGCTATTTTGGCTGTGCTCCTAGCCCAGCCCAGTGTCGCCACGTCCCCAGCACAGCGTGGCCCTGACTCCGTCCCCTAGCCCTGTACCACCCCATCCTTGGCCCTGCCCCCTAGCCCAGCGTTGTTCTTGACCCCACCCCCAGCCAACACCACCCAGCCCAATCTCGCGCCTGGCCACGCACCAGCCAACACCACCCACCTCTGGCCCCGCCCCTTAGCGGAGCATCGCCGCTGACTCCACCCACAGGTCAATGCCACCCCACCCTGGCCCGGCGCCCTAGTTCAACCTCACACCCTCTCCAAGCTTCGCCTGACCCAAGCCCAGAGCCATCCCAACCCCTGGCCCTGACCCCAACCCCAGAGCCATCCTAACCCCTGGCCCCGATCGCAACCCCAGCATTGCCCGCTGACTCTGCCCCCCCTCCAGCCCCATGTCACCCCCTGCCGACCCTTGCGTCCCCGCAGCTCCGTGGGCGAGGTACAGTGGGAGGCCGAGTTCTTCGCGCTGCAGGACAGCAACAACAAGCTGGCGGGCGCCCTGCGAGAGGCCAACGCGGCTGCAGCCCAGTGGAGGCAGCAGCTGGAGGCTCAGCGTGCAGAGGCTGAGCGGCTGCGGCAGCGGGTGAGGGCATCCCCCTCTCAAAGAGAGCCCCCCACCTGGCCCGGGCAACTGTGGAGCCCATGCCTCTGCCGGTCCCATCTGCCCTGGGTTCATGGACTGGCTGGGTGACCTCAGCAGGTCCCTGCCCCAGCCCCAGTTCCTTGCTCTGTAAAATGGGTGTGAGACAATGCCAACTTCAGAGGGTGATCAGACCCTAAAGTCCAAGCTACGTGGGTGGGGGACGTGCCACCAACCAAGGGAGTTGGGTGCTCGGTCCTGGGTGTGGCCAGACAGGAGGCAGATTCCCTAGAGGTTGGGGGAGCACGGGAGAGTGCAGGCAGGGGCAGCAGGGGTTGCTATTCCTGTCCCACAGGTGGCTGAGCTGGAGGCCCAGGCAGCTTCAGAGGTGACCCCGGCCAGCGAGAAGGAGGGGCCGGGCCAGGGCCAGTCGCTGGAGCAGCTGGAAGCTCTGGTGCAAACCAAGGACCAGGTGAGCGCCAAGTATGGTTCCCAGGCCTCACCGTCCCTCACCTCTAGAGGGAAAGCCAGCACCCCCAGAACAGACCCTGGGAACTCTTTTTCTCTAGGAGATCCAGACCCTGAAGAGTCAGACTGGGGGGCCCCGAGAGGCCCCAGAGGCTGCCGAGCGCGAGGAGACTCAGCAGAAGGTGCAGGTGTGTGTGGGCACCAGGAGGTGGGGTGAAGGTGGGTGACAGTCACCTCAACAGACAATCGGGATGATCTACCTAAGACGATAAAGTATTGGGAGTCCCAGGCCCGCATCAGGCCTGATGGCTGGCAGGTGCTGTGTGAACAGTGGGTTCAGCAAGCAATGCTCGATCCCGGCTGCATTCCCATGCCAGACCCTGTCATTTCCTCCTGTTCTCAGCCTGAAATTAGAGCCTGCACTGGAACCCAGGTGTGGCTTGGCTTTTTTTTTTCTTCTTCGAGGTGGAGTCTCACTCTGTTGCGCAGGCTAGAGTGCAGTGGCGCAATCTTGGCTCACTGTAACCTCCGCCTCCCAGGTTCAAGTGATTCTCCTGCCTCAGTCTCCTCGGTAGCTGGGATTATAGGTGTGTGCTACCGTGCCTGGCTAATTTTTCGTATTTTTAGTAGAGATGGGGTTTTACCATGTTGTCCAGGCTGGTCTCGAACTCCCGACCTCAGGGGAGCCACCTGTCTCTGCCTCCCAAAGTGCTGAGATTATAAGCATGAGTCACTGTGCCCAGTCCAGCGGGCACTTCTTGTAAGCCCAACAAGTTGAGATGTCACAGGACCTACTTCCCTTACACCTGTATTCCTAGCTACTTGAGAGGCTGGGTGGGAGGATTGCTTGAGCCTGGGAGTTGGAGGCTACAGTGAGCTAGGATTGTGCCACTGCACTCCAGCTTGGGCAACAGAGCAAAACCCTGTCTCTTAAAAATGAGGGCAGAAGCCAGACCCCTGGGGGTTTGCATTTTATTCCCAGTGTGATCAGAGCCCTAGGAGGGCTTTGGGTAGAAGAGGGACATGAAGGCGGTCAGACTCTGGACACCTTGGACAGGGATGATGACTTGTTGGGGCCCTCAACCCTGCCCACCCTTTCCTGGCAGGACCTGGAGACCCGCAACGCGGAGCTGGAGCACCAGCTGCGGGTGATGGAGCGCAGCCTGGAGGAGGCGCGGGCGGAGCGGGAGCGGGCACGGGCCGAGGTGGGCCGGGCGGCGCAGCTGCTGGACGTCAGGCTGTTCGAGCTGAGTGAGCTGCGCGAGGGCCTGGCCCGCCTGGCTGAGGCTGCGCCCTGAGCCGGGGCTGGTTTTCTATGAACGATTCCGGCCTGGGATGTGGGCCAGGCCGCAGGCGGCGTAGGTGGGCCCATTTGTCCTGGCAAGGGACCGGGGGTCCCAACTCGGTCCCGGGTGGGCCGGGGTGGGGTGGGCCCCGGCTGGCTCTGGCTGTTGACAGCATGGGGGCTGTTTTTGAGCTTCTCATTGTGTAGAATTTCTAGATCCCCAGATTACATTTCTGAGCGTGGCTGCGTGTGTGTGGTATGTGGGTACCTGGGCACCTAACGTGTCGCCGGTCCCTTTCCCTGCCTCCTCTTGGGTGCCCCTGCATCTACATGGGAGTTATAAGCTGCCTGCAGATGAGGGGTGAGGCTTGGAGTCCGGGGTGGGGTGTCCAGGCCACACAGCCAGGAACCTGGCTCTGGTACCTCTGCCTGTCCCCTTGGGCTTAGCTCATGTGGTCTGGCCAAGTTTGGACGTTCGTGACCCCTTCACTCTGGCCACAAGATGTGTCCAGGTGGCTGGCCAGGAAGCTCCTAGAACATAGCTGTGCTCATTCAGCACAGGAGTGACCTCGCTGAAACCTCATAGACGCCTCTGGAGAGCGGGGCAGCTGCTATGCCCATTTTCCAGATGAGGAAGCTGGAAGCCCAGAGAAGGGGCTTCCAGATGCAGACGTGGCCGTTCGAGCAGGTGGTTTGCCTGCAAAGCTTTGGACCTGCCTGTTGGAAACAGACGTGGTGTTCTGGGCAGCCTCACCCCACCTCTCCTGTTCCCCTGCTCTGCTAAAGTCAGACTGAGGAAGTCAAAAGACCCATTTATTGAGCACCTCCTGTATGCGGCACCCTTGGGGGGTGACTTTGGGTCGGGGTCACAACTTCCTGGGTTGTGTTCTTTCCTCCTCTGCAGCCTGAATCTTGGCCACGGCTCAGGGAAGGGGCCAGCCGGGGGTTTTGGGGCAGAGGAGCAGGGTCCGCACAACACGGGTGCCCACGGGTTCCGCTGTAGGACACTGAGCAGGCCCCGGGAAGGGCCACCGCCCCCAGCGAAGGTTCCTCCGACCCTCAGCTCAATGGAAGAGTCGAGCACTGGGCAGATGGCCGTGTGGGACTCAGGCCGGGCGCTGGGAGGGAACCGGGCCTGAGTGGGCCGCAGGCAGGGCCCTCGGTGGCCGCCCCTCGTGGCCTGCCCTGCCAGCCTTCTTCTGTCGTCGCTGCAGCGTCTCCTCCACCTTCTCCTTGAAGCGCCGGTTCTTCTGCTTGATCTTGGCCAGCTCGGCCTTGCGCTTGGCCTCCAGGTCAGGGTCCTAGCACCGGGAGGACCGGGGGCGGCTGAGCCATCGCCCCCACCCAGGGAACCCGACCACCCACCCCCCACCGGCGGGCTCAGCCCTCACCTTCCCTTCCAGGATCAGCTGCTTCCGTTTGTTGATCTCCTTCTTTTCATCAAAGTGGGCCGCCTCCAGTTTCTGGTGGAGGGAAGGGGGGTACGGAGACGCCAGTCATGGGGGCCCCAACTAGAAGGGAGCACCCCCAGCCCCGGAGAGCAGCTTGGCCTCTGCCGGCCTCTGACACTCACAATCTCACACTCTCTCCGCACCACGTTGACCTGTGTGAGGATCTGTAGCACCTCGGCCTCCTCCACGGAGAATTCCTCTAGCTTCTTCTCTGTGGGGACAGCAAGGCCAGGGGTTGGGGTGGGGAGGAGACGTGACACAGAGGGAGTTCAGCCGGGTAGTGAGCTCCCCATGCTATGGGGTATGCAAGGCCATCTGGAGTCGTATCAGATAAGGGCTAGGTGGGCAAGATCAGGGATTTCTGAGCTAAGGAAGGTATGGACCACTTTTTCAGAGTCTCACTGTCACCCAAGCCCGAGCACAGTGACACTATCTCGGCTAACTGCAACCTCCACCTCCCGGGTCCAAGCAATTCTCGTGCCTCAGCCTCACTTTTTTTTTTTCCAGATCTTTTTCTTTTTTTGGGATAGAGTCTCACTATCACCCAGGCTGGAGTAAATTCCAGATGTTTCTTTTTTTTTGGGACAGAGTCTCACTGTCACCCAGGCAGGAGTAAATTCTCCTGCCTCAACCTCCCAAGTAACTGGGATGTCAGGCGTGCACCACCACACCTAGTTAATTTTTCTATTTTTAGTACAGATGAGATTTCACCATGTTGCTCAGGCTGGTCTCGAACTCCTGGGCTCAAGTGATCCGCCGGCCTCAGCCGCTCAAAGTGCTGGGATTGAGTCACTGTGCCCAGCCAAGTCCAGATGTTTCTACATTTTAGGACAGTCAGTGCCGTGATCAGAGATAACTTAGGAAGTGTCTCTGTCCTGGTTGTACATGAAACCGCTCCTGGGGGTTTTTAGCAGGCCCGGGCCCTGCCACTGCGGCCTCTGACGTCTCAGGGACCTTCCACACACCTCAGTGTGAGAAACCCAAGTCCCCTCCTGACGTGGCATTCAGCTGCTGGCAGCCACTGTGGGGAGTGTGTTCCAATAAATGGGAAAAACTGCTTTTAGGGGTGCCTAGGGAGGGAAGTCCAGCCTACAACTGCTCACATCCTACGGGTCTCACCGAGAGGCACCCACCCCTGCCCACCCCCTCTGCCCACCCCCCTCCTCCCCTGCCCCCACTCACCGATCTGCTCCTCAATGGCATGCACCAGGTGGATGTCGTACTGTGTCACCAGCGTAATGGCCTGACCCTGCCGCCCTGTGGGGATGCACCAGTTATCTGCCACGTCCCAGGGGTCAGGACATGGGGCTACGAAACTCGGGTCCTCCTAGAGATGCTGAAGAAAGCTTGGGCGTGGGGGGATCAGTCCAGAATGTCTGGGCTCGACTCCAAGCAGGGCCTCTGTGTGGAGGATGGGTCACTGAGGACAGGCAGTTCTGCTGGTCTCGCCTTAGACAAGAGTTACTGCCCGATTTCCCTTTTTGGCTTGGCTGCCAGGGAACCCAGTCTAAGTAATGGCAGCCATTAGTCCTAGTGACCCTCAGCCCCAGATCTCTGCTTGCTGTTTCTGTGATGGTGACTAGGGCCAAAACCACACTGAGGGTGGACAAAGTGGGTGAGCCTCACGGCAGCCCCACATGGATGTCACCATTCTCATTATTCACCATGGGAGGTCTGGGGAGCGGAAGTGACCTGCCCAGCACCGCAGGGTCAGGATAGAAGGTCCAGGCCCAGGCTGACCCCAGCAAACGCATTTTTCCTGGCTCCAGAAGTGAGAACATCTCACGGAGACCCTGCCCCTCCCTGATGCTGGGGCCATGTGTGCACCCTCCCAGGGGGCAGTCACACGCTGCTCAGTTCATCACCCGGCTGGGGTGAAGGCAGCATCCCCCTCGCCTTTTCTTTTTTTTTTTGAGATGGAGTCTCACAGTTGCCCAGGTTGGAATACAATGGTGCAATGTCAGCTCACTGCAACCTCTGCCTCCTGGGTTAAAGCGATTCTTCTGCCTCTGTCTCCCGAGTAGCTAGGATTACAGGCACATGTCACTCCACCTGGCTAATTTTTGTATTTTTCTTTTTGTTTTCGAGACGGAGTTTCACTCGTTACCCAGGCTGGAGTGCAATGGCGCGATCTCGGCTCACCGCAACCTCCGCCTCCTGGGTTCAAGCAATTCTCCCCCCTCAGCCTCCTGAGTAGCTGGGACTACAGACATGCGCCACCATGCCCAGCTAATTTTTGTATTTTTAGTAGAGACATGGTTTCACCATGTTGACCAGGATGGTCTCGATCTCTTGACCTCATGATCCACCCACCTCGACCTCCCAAAGTGCTGGGATTATAGGTGTGAGCCACCGCACCCGGCCTAATTTTTGTATTTTTAGGTTTCACCAGGTTCATCACCCTGGTATCGAATTCCCGACCTCAGGTGGTCCACCCACCTTGGCCTCCCAAAGTGCTGGCATTTTTTATTTTTTTTTTGATAGAGTCTTGCTCTGTTGCTAGGCTGGAGTGCAGTGGCATGATCTTGCCTCACTGCCACCTCCACCTCCCAAGTTCAAGTGATTCTTCTGCCTCAGCCTCCTGAGGGAGGGACCACAAGCGTGCACCACCACGCCCAGCTAATATTTGTATTTTTAATTGAGAGGAGGTTTTACCATGTTGGCCAGGATGGTCTCAATTTCTTGACCTAGTGATCTGCCCGCCTTGGCCTCCCAAAGTGCTGGGATTACAGGCGTGAGTCACTGAGCCGGGCCTATTTTTATTTTTTTTTGAGATGGAGTTCTGCTGTTTTTGCCCAGGCTGGAGTGCAATGGTGCAATCTTGGCTCACTGCAACCTCCCAGGTTCAAGTAATTCTCCTGCCTCAGCCTCCTGAGTAGCTGGGATTCACCTGTGCTTTAGAAAGGTTGAATCCTGGCCGGGCGTGGTGGCTCACACCTGTAATCCAAGCACTTTGGAGGCCAAGGTGGGCGGATCACCTGAGGTCGGGAGTTCAAGACCAGCCTGACCAACACGGTGAAACCCCGCCTTAAAAATAAAAATAAAAAAAATAAAAATAAAAAAAAGAAAGGTCGACTCTTCCAACTTGCAAACATGGCCCGGAGTAGCGCTCATCTGTGGGCTGTACCCCACCCATGTCCCACCACCTGGCTTTGCTGGGCAAGCTGGAGGGACGGGCCCAAGGCCTGGGCTCCCCTCTGCCACTCACCTGCACGGGCAGTGCGGCCAACTCGGTGGATGTAGATCTTGGGGAGCCCGGGGGTGTTGTGGTTGATGACCACCTGCACTGTAGGGATGTCCAGGCCCCTGGAGGCAGAGGTGGCTGGTCAGCTTTGGGGAAACCAAGGCTAGCTAGGACTCACCCAGGCCCACTCAGTAGGGAGGCTGGGGCTGCCCGACGCATGCCCGAGGCCAGCCTTCTCATCTGTTGGGCTGTGTAGTAAAGAGGGAGTGCCCTGGGCAGGGGACGGGGGGCTGCTCACCGGGAGGCCACATCTGTTGCGATCAGGATCCGGTAGATACTGGATTTGAACTTGGCTAGGGCGGCAAAGCGTTCTTTCTGCACGGGGTTGGGGAGCAAATTGGGAATGGGTGAAGGCAGAGTTTTCTGTGTGAGGCCTGGGGACAGGGCGGAAGCCGGGGTAGTCCCCCAGATCCACTGAGGAAGGTGGCCACGGGAAGCTAGACCAGGACAAATGAATGACAGCTGAAAGAGATGCTGATCAGGGAGGGCCTCGTGAGCTGGGATGTTCTGGGAGCAGGAGAGAGCAGGCGGCAGGAAGAAGGCGCCT